AAAACTTTTACTCGTATCTCAGTGATACTAAAATAACACTGTGCTATACTTAGGATTATGGTTTTATAACAAGCAACGACTCTCTCTTTCTCTCTCTCTACTCTTCTTCTTGTAGTGTCATGTTCTGCAAACCAGTGCATCGGAGCAGTCCTGACAGAGCTGGTTATATCAATGTGATATTTATCACCTCAGATAAAGAAGAAATTAGTGTGAGAATGAGGTCGTACATCACTGCAGGTTAGATTAGGTGTCAAATAAAAAAATCAATGACGAGACCATGTTTTGCCTTCCTCAGACGCAGCAGAAAGTGGCGAAAGGCAAAGTCGCCTCAGGTCGACAACACCGCCGTGACACTTTGCCTCAAGTCCTTGTTTGGTAGCACTGGGAAGACACACAATAGACCATTTTGATTCAAAACACTTTATGTACATTTTTGGTACTTTTAGTACACTTAAATTCTGTTTCCATGTAAGAATAATCCAAAATTTCATTCCACCCCTCCTAGTGTGTGCATGGATCTTTCCCTCAGTCTTTAGTGTAGCTGTGACCCCGTCTATCAGCCCTACTTGTGTGCGTTGGTGAAAGGGAACGGAACAGATGGGAATCCGATTGAAGAGATGAGATGCTCCTAATTATCTAATGAGCAAAAGGATCGGCTTGATTTGTCGCTTTAGCACTCTTGTTAGGTTAAGTGGAGGGAATCGACTAAGGAGCCATCGTGGCTCAATATATACTGATCTTTTGCTCAAATGTCTGCAATATTGGAACTCAGAGGTGAGGTCTAAAAAGATACATTGTCTGAGATCTGCAGTATAAACCCTGAAACCTCTATAATTAGACAACTATATTCTATTTAGTCTTTACTTGATAACATACTGGTAAAAAATGTATAGCCTGAATGCACTGTAAGTCGCTTTGGATAAAAGCGTCTGCTAAATGCATACATTGTTATTTAATTATTAATTATTACTTCATTATTTTATTTTATGCTTTTTTTCTCTTCTCTTTTATTTTATTTAATTTTACTTTATTTTATGCTTTTTTTCTCTCTCTTTAAATTGTTTTAAATCTCAAAACTATGAAATCTCATCAATATTGATATTCTGATGCAAAAATGTATTCTTATTTTTTTATTATTTAGTAGTTGGTTACTTTTTTCATGTTTTAGAATTTATATATGAATTTTAGTGCTGGCAAAATTAGCGCATTAACGCAGGCGATTATTTTTTTCAGTTTAAAGGCTCGTTCACACCAAGCACAATAACTATAAAGATAACGATAAAGATATAGTTATAAAAATCGTTCTGAATATTAAAGAATAGCAGAGTCCACACCACAACTATAACGATAAAGGCACAGAGAAACGATATCTTTGGAATCACTTTCAAAATGATTTTTTTCCAGCTGATGAACGATACAAAGATTGACAGCCAATCAGAATCCATCCTGCTATAACGAGCTGGAGAATTTAAAGCGACAGACGCGTGTGCGCTTGGAATATACAGACGATATGTGGACGCTCTGGTGTGGACACTAATGTCTTTAACTTTATAGTTATCGTTCTTGGTGTGAACGGGGCTTTAAAAATATTTAACACAGTTAATGCAGGGGCGGAGCTAGGGTTGGCCACCCCATTCACAACTGCTGCTTCTGTCTAATTTTTCTTGACAAGAAGTGCATTTATTCAGTCGCAGAGCATCTTTACGACCACATCAAACCAAGACGTTTCAGACGCGAGCACCACTTCGCCTCAGTGCCTCATTGCAATAATTTCACATTCAATCTTCAAATTAATGTACAAACAACATAAAGACAGTATATTTTTAATATTTGTATAATGACAAATTTTTTTTATGACTGAAGGCTAGTATCACTGATAACAATGATACTGATGTCTCTATGAAATAGTTTTCCCCCCTAATATTTAACCATTGACTATAGCCATTCAACATGACAGTATAACTGAGAGCTATCGATTTGAACATTTATTTAAAGATCAAAAGAAAAAAGAGGAAATCAATAACTTTTGTATCTATCCATATTTAATCTATCATCTATATTTAATTTAGAATTAAGTGTTTGATAACTTTATTCAGTTTCTGTATATTTCCTACTTGCTGAAGGGCACAGGTAAATATGACATTTATTATAATGGGTTTATGTGATGATTGTTTTAAGTTAACTAAAATTAGAAGTTATTTTAAGTATTCTAATAAATGTTCAAATTGATAGCTCTCAGTTATACTGTAACTGTAATGTTGAATGGCTATAGTCAATGGTTAAAAATACAGCATATTGCTTTGGAACCAAATTCTATTACATTAAAACACATTTTTAGTAAGAGATCAAGTTCACAAATGACGCAACACAGACATTTACCTGTGGCTGTTACCCTTTGCATTCAGATAAAACATGACATATGCTAACAAACCATCACTCAACATTCTGCTCTGGGTTTTAACGCAGCTTTTAATTAGCAGTCTTTTAATTAGCAGCCCTACCTAGATGCATAACGAACATAAAGGTCCATATGTTAATCCAGGCATCCTGTATGTCCTGAATCTGTATAACTGTAAGTACTCTCTGGGAGGAGAGTTTTCAGCTTCTGTCACTATGAAGAAGTGTGTGTGTCCATGTAATCTGTGCTTTGAGGTGTGTGTGGTTACATACGGAGGCCGATCTCAGCGTGTGCGCCGTGTTTTCCTCATCCGTTCTGCCGTATATTGACCATGTTGCACATTATAAATCAAAGGCGGCGAGGTTCTCCTGCTAGTGGCTAATGAAAGCTAATTTTTAACGTCACTAAATGGTCCTGACAAAAAGTCTAATGAGGAAATCAATAATTCAGCGATTGTTGTCCTGCTTATACTAATAGATCCAGGTTGTTGGGGCTGGGATCCAGTGAAGAGGGGACCATTTTTTATTGCGCAGTTTCTGCACATCAGCGTGTTTTAAAAGGTTTTTTTCCCCCACCGCGGACCCCTGATTGATAATCTGTTCTGGATTTGCGACTGATGCCAGGACTTTGGTAGGATTCAAGTTATGGGCATTTAAGAAGTGATACTGCCATTAATATAAATTTAATCCATTCTGTGTGAAAAATACCTCTCACCTCCCCTTTAATTACAGAGGTACAGATTGATGTTAGAAAGATAACGCTTTAAAATGCTTTTATGCATTTATCTTTTTTCTTCTTTTACAGTATTGCTGAAAAGCTAAAAAACTACAGTGCTAACAAACACTATGACTGCTTGTCAGTCTACTCCTTCATCAAAAAATGAAAATTTACTGAAAATGTTCTCACCCTCAGATGTAGATGAGTTTGTTTCTTCATTAGAACAGATTTGAAGAAATTTAAAATTACAGTACATCACTTGCTCACCAGTGGATCCTCTGCAGTGAAAGGGGGCCGTCAGAATGAGAATACCAACAGCTGATAAAAACATCACAATAATCCACAAGTAATCCACACGACTACAAGTAATCTACATATTTGTTTAGAACTGTTTTGATCTGTTTTTGCTTGGAATCAGTGCATTTGATTTTAAGCACAGATTTGTGTTTATTTCTCTCCTGATTCAGACGAGATGGCTTTACCACTGGAAAAAGCAATATTATGGATAGAGGACTCGGGGAAAAAAAGGTTTTAAGTTAAAAACGTCTTGATGGATTTGTTTTTTATAAACAGTTTTTCACTTCACAAGACATTAGTTGATGGACTGGAGTCATGTGGATTACTTGTGGATAACTGTAATGGTTTTATCAGCTGTTCGGACTCTCATTCTGAAGGCACCCATTCACTGCAGAGCAAGTGATGTAATGCTAAATTTCTCCACATTTTTTCCAATGAAGGAACAAACTCATCTACATCTTGGATGGCCTGAGGGTTATACATTTTAAGCACATTTTCATTTTATATGAACTATTCCTTTAAGCCTTTTTATTGTTTTCATGCCAATTATCGAGTCCTTCTTCTCCTTTATTTTTCCTTTAACCAGATCCCTTTTTTCTGCTTTGGATTGTGTAATTCTCTAAATCTCAAAATCCTTGCTGTTTGGTCCCTGCTGTAGAAGGTTCAGGTGTGTGTGTCTGCTGGTAATGAAAACAGATGGTGGTTTGTTCTGGTGAGGTCACTGATCATGATCCTGGTCCCAGAGAGACTTCGTTGTGGGGTGGGGGACAGGGGTCCGGCTCCACAGCCCACTCTTAATTGAAGGGGCAGCTAGATTACCCTCTCTGAACCCTAGCTGGTCTCTGTAATGGTAGGGGTTTGCGCCATGTGCTTCAGTTTTTCAGTCATCCTGTATATCTATCATTTTCATGCCAAGATGAGGACCAGACAGTCTTTGTGGATTACTTTAGGTTATGCATTACTCTAAAGCATTTTGATTTTGAACCTACAGTCTTACAGTTACCATGCACTAATATTCAAATTCTGGACATTATTTGTAATATTTCAAAATGAACATGTACTGGATTGAAACTACTTAGGTATATTTAATTATCCATACATCATTTTATGATATTACCTTTTAAAGAACATTCATTTCTTAATCTCTGAATTGTCATTGTATTGCATTGCATTATATTTTTGCCTCCACTATAAAAACTGCAGCTTTGATAAAAAAATTAAGCATTTAGATACAATCTCACCAAGATTTTTTGTTTGACAAATATAGAGTGATGGCAACTTATATTTATTATGTAGGTAATCTGTTATACAGTCATAAAGATCTCATTGATTTACATTCGAAGCTATAAGAATTTCATCTTACTTTTTGGCCATATAAATATCAGTATCTGAATCATAGTGTAAATGTTTAAAAAAATTCATGCACAATAAAATATATTGACTGATAACCATTATGGTATCCGTATATTCTGCATCCTAGTTACCCACTCAGATATTTAAGACCATGCTTCACCATAATAATTAATAATTGCATGTTCTGTAAATGATCCATTATCCATAAAAAACTGACACAACTTGTTGGTTTCAGGGCGAAGAATAAGCTTTGGTACTTTGAGTTTGGAACCTCAGAGACCTTCTCGGCAACTTGCAAGAAGCTGCATGATTATCTTGAAATGGAGGTAATGAGAATAAGTGAGAAACCACATGCCTTATCACCTTTCTAACACTTAAACACTCCCTGCTGAACCACTGGAAAGAACTGTAGTATATTATTTTAATGCAAAAAAGTACATTTTGACAAAATGTCTTTCAAGATTTTGTTGTATTGACACACACAATTCTGATGATTTTCAGAAAGGCCCACGTAACAGAAAGCACGTTAGTTTTAGTTTGTTAGTGCTAATGCAACAGTGATATATTTATTCATTATTGATTGATTGATCGATCAAGTCATTTATTTGTTCACTCATTGTATAATAATTGTAATTGTACCTTTCTCGTGTTTTATAGTGTGATGGTGTCACCCTAAACCTCAGCAACATCTCATTGGAGGGCATTGCCATCCTGAATATTCCCAGCATGCACGGCGGTTCCAACCTTTGGGGACAGAGCAAGAAACGGAGGGGTCACCGTCGAACAGGGAAGAAGTCTCCGGAAAAGAAGACCCCAACTGTTGACCCCAAACAACTAGTTTTTGCTATCCAAGGTATACAAACACATACTCTTTACATATCAAAAATATTTTGATCGATTTATTTGTTTACTTTAATAATTTCTTTTTTTTTAACCATTTTATATTTCATTAATTTACATTTACATTTGTTTATGCTTTCATACATTTTTATTTATTTATTATTTACTGGGGGTCTAGTCAAACATATTTTCTGTGGTAATCAACATTATGCCATAAATGCTGTCAATAGAGCTTAACTTGTATTGAACTTGGAACATTTCTTTAAGGGTCACTGGTTTGCAAAGTCCTTGTCTTCATACCTGATTAATCAAAGGCAACTTCAGAGGAACTTTTCTTTCATGATGAATATTTCACCAGTGACACATTGAATCATGGCGAGTGGCTTTTGTTTGGGTTGAAGGGATGCAGTTTTAATGCCGTTGTTTGGGATTGTCAGTGGCTCTGTAATGGCTTGTGCTAGCGTTGGTGGACAGACCTGTCCAATCAAAGCAGGCCCAACTGTACCATGGTAAAACAGGCTGATTGGGGTTTCAATAACTTTCTAAAGCAGCAGACTTACTGTCACATCTGCTGCTGCCACTAGCTGTGCTCAAGGGTACTGAAATGACCGACATAAATCAGTCATGCAAATTCCTGCTTTTTTTTTTATAACACAAAATTTAAACAATTTTCAAACAAAGTTGTGAATCTTTGGTGCTTTGTAGTCTCAGACTTACCGCCCACAGTCTGTTCACTGACTGTTTAATGCTCATTGCACACAAAACTAATCACTGAATTTGCCAGATTATTATGATATCACATCTTTGAAAGATATTCCAAATTTTTTTAAGGCACTTAGTAGCAATTTAACTAGATAAACTGTGTAACTGGCTTTAAGGTATGTTTGTGAGATAGTCAGAATAGCACAAACATAACTCCGTACTACTGTTTGCTAATAAAGCCTGTCTCTAAGTAACAAATATAGTTTGTGAGAGGCAAAAGTATGTGAGATACAACGTCATGATGTGAGATACTGTATAAAGCCATAACATGAGATATAAAGTCAAAATTGTGATGTATAGAATCACATTGTAAGTCATAATATGCTGTACAAAGTCCCATTTGTGAAATATAAAATCTCATTTGGGAGATTTAAAGATCCATATTAGATAAAAAGTCACATTGTGAAAAATAAAGTCATAATGTGAGATACAGTATGAAGTTGCATTGCTAGATTTAGTCTATGAGGTGGAAACTGACTTCTAGAGTTTGAAAAATTTGCCGCACTATTATATGTTTGATAAATACAATATTTATAACACAATGTTTTATCACATAATATACTTTTCATAAACCCACGTCTAAATGGTACGTACTATAAAAACAAATCAAACTGTAGTTCATCACTTTACATGCCAGTCAGATCAACACAATTCATAGCCATTTTACATTTTGGTGAATTTTTGCTATGAATTCTAACAATTTGTATAGTTTTTACAATCTGCTTAATAGACTTCAGTGTTCTTATGGGGAAAAAAGCATACAAATTCATACATCTCATAGAATAGTTACATTTTGGTCAGAATAAGCAGCAATTTGGCCTAGAGATTGTTGTGATGAACCCTAATAAAAATGATCTTTATGCAAAAAGAGCAAATGCTGCGCTGCTGATACAAGTGAGATACCAAACACGCATAAACCCTTACACGTAGTTCCCTGCCAAATGACATTAACCCAAATCCTGTCAAAGTGCAAAGAACAGTAAAGACTTGTTGTTGTTGAGATAAACACTTAGATGTTCCCTCCACGGAGAATCATCAAGGCAAAACGCCGTTCACTAATCTAGAAATGTGTACGCCGGTTGTCACCACGTTGGGGAAAATCCATGTATCGTGCTGCTTTGAGAGCATTGATTGTAGTTTTACAGAATCTCTTTGGGCCGTTAGGGATCACAAAGAGCAGAATGAAGGGTGAAATGTCAGAGCCTGTTCGAGTCTTACAATCACAGTATTCGAGGTTCCCTGATGAGAAATCACCCATTTGAAAGAGATTGTCAGTTAGACTTTCTTGTTTAAAGAGTTTACTTGCCTGGCCCAGCTGCTTTCTTTCCAGTCAATATGGGTGAAAATGAAATATAACCTCTAGTATTAGTATACTTATTCATGTTTTGTACAGTATATCAATATCCATACATTTACACGCCATAACTCCATAGTATCTCATTCGTTAAACTCTTTAATCTGTCCACCTCAGTTAAACCCCAAGTACCAATCCATTATCTCAGGTGTCGTTAGACTGAGACCGTCTTTACAGTTCATCCAGCCCCTTGCACTCTTTAATTTCAGTCAATACGAGTCAGCCGCTGATAAATGCACCCATTTGTATCATGCATGTTTGCTCTAATATCCTACCGCTGCATCTCTGCATCGCCTCTCAGTAGAAACAGAGCGCTTGGTGAATAAAATCGGCTTTCAAAAAAGAGAGCAAGAGGACAAAACCCTTTACGCTCCATTCTATTCCATTTACTCTGGAAAAAAAGATCAATTGATTGGTGCGAAGGTACCCACGAGCCCAGGTTTGGACCAGAGAAGGCACTTAGCCTGGGCGCCTCGCCGATGGTTTTGAAAGCCTTCGTAGATACGGCTTCATCTGAAGGAGCTCTGAAGGTGAGAGGCCTGTGCTTGTCAGATTAGTCGAGGGAGCATTAGCTGGATGGTAAACAGGGAGTGCATTAGCCCCCGAGGCCCAGCTCTCAGATGGGGTAGAGTCTGACCTTTCGGGAGCAGTTGAGTGGCCCCGCTGGTGACGCTAGGAGACAGGCCTCCTCAGGTGGAAGGGAATGGAGGCGGGCTGAATTATTCAGCATGGACGTGGGCTGCACTGGGGCTACTGATGTCCCCTGACACACTGTGCGAAAGCCCCTCAAACTCCCTCCCGCGCACCTCAGCCCTGCCTACGCCTGTCGCTCCATGTGCGTCATGAGCAACATGGGCTGTTCAATCACACAGAAAAAAAAAAAAACAGGGGACAAGAAAACACCATTA